TTCCTCTCTAGGGCTTTTGTTAGGGACCATGTCTGGCACTGATGTGTGAGTGTTGGAAGGAAGATGGCGTTAATGAGCTTCGCCTTGGTGCTCATGGGAATATTGGGATGTTTCTGGAGAAGGCCGAGTTGATAGCTGACTGCGTTGGCTTTCTAGCATCTAGTCTCTATTTCTCGATCCAATTTTCCATTTAACATATTATGATGATATTCGGTGGCGTCCAAAAAGCACACTTGAAAATGTATTCACTCGTGCAGCGTACCAATTTAAAGTTAAATAAATTCAACATCATGAAAGACACATTAATTTTTCATCTACAACAGGAGTCGCCCAAGATATAGCGACTCAAAATTAACCTTTAAAAATCATGCTTGGCAAAATCACAAGACAAGGAGAGATATCAGAAAGCGGTCCAACAATCCCAGCAGGACCAGAGGACACAATGGACAGACGCCTTGCAAATATCGCTTACGTGACGTCGAACGATGTGTGGCACATGACACCTCAGAGACTTAGCTTAATTATTAGACCAGCTCAGTGTTATGACTCACTGCCTTCGAAAGTTAATTTCGTGAAGTGGGGCAAGGAAGAAGATCCCCGCTGCCCACTGTGCCAGGAGGGACAGACAATGGAACGTGTTCTCAGTTCCTGTAAGGTATCCCTTGTTGATGGCAGATACACTTGGCGGAAAGACAAAGTGCTGAAAGAGCTGGCCCTCGCACTCTTCTGCAGCCTGGAGACCGACAGCGATAGTAGTGTAGCTCCAGTCCAAATATTCTTCACAGCAGGGAAGAAGGAAAAAAGCGGGTTGGAAGAAAACAAACGCCTCGCCCCTCAAGGAATGAAAACCTTCTCCGTCCCGCAAAGGATAGGGAACTAGCTTCAAATCTCTCAGAATGGTGGGACTACCCTCCTGTGGTCAAGAGAAAAGGTCTCAAACAAGATATTATTCTCTTGTCAGAAACTAATGTTAAGCAAAGTCTTCCTAATCGAGCTGTCTGTTCCATACGAAAGTAGGATAGATGAATAACTGTTCACCAGTTCAGGCTGGCAAAATATGCAGATCTCTCGGATCAACTCCAAGGAGAGGGTTATGGCTCTAAGGTCATGCCAGAAAAAGTGGGTGCACGAGGGTTTGTGGAAGCCTAAACATTCACACTGGGGCAACTAGGCCTCAAAGATCAGAAAAGAAAGGCAGCCATCAAGCGCATTTCAGAACTGGCAGTGGCAGAGACAAGTTCGAGCTGGCCGTGGACGAAACGGAATGAAAGTTGGGCCACTAAAAATAGAAAAGAAAGGTAGATAAGGAAACTTCCCCAAAAGTTTAATAAATTTATAATATATCTTTGCATTTGCGGTTTTCACTGGAGTCTTCATGGTATCGCCGATTACGAGAATCGAACTCGGGCCCTCTGCATGCGACGGTGAAGCACCTAACCGCTACACATCATGCAGACGCCACAGAGCGTCAACTGGACTGACACTCATTTCTCACGGTAGTCTTAGTCTCGTATGTGATGATCAAGAGGCCTACTAACATTGCTCGTTAGGCCTACGAACATTGTTTTATTGCTTTGGTGGCTTTCTGGCGAGGACAAAATTTGTAGGTCTATGGTCGATTCTGTAAAAG